AACACACACCTTACTCAGGACCACAGGGAAGCTCTTTGAATAGGTTAATTGTGGACCTGTGCCTGGTCCACAATTAACCTAGGATAGTCCTGCCAGGGCCATCCAGAGAAAACAAATGTACACCTCACTCCAGGCGACAAGAGAGCATGTACTGAGCCATGTGGGCAACCTGCCCCAACTCCACACGAAGAGGTGTGAACTGGAGCAACCTAGTGCTGTGTCTCACTCCAAGCTACAAGAAAGAGAAACTATGCAACCCAGAGCAACCTGCAAAATGTCCATCCCAATCCCAGGGTCTTGCTGCTGGGGCATCCTGGAGTAACCCAGTGTGTACCCCACTCAGGCCAAAGGGGAGGAGATATGACTGTGTGACCCAGAGCAACCTACACTTGCTTCAACACAGCCCCTGGGACAGTCCTGCAGAGGTGACCCAGACCAAGCCAGTGGGACCAGCCAGATGCCACAGGACTGTACTGCAAATGCTCTGCCAGAGGGACCTATGGTGCCACTGTGCCATGGGCACCAGGGCTGCACAGCAAATTACATGCCAGAGGACTCTGGGTCCTCATAGAGGATAGCACCCACAGAAACTGTGAATAGGCTCCCACCATCCCAATAGTCTGAAGCATACAACTGAGGGACCAGATACGTGGTTTAAGGGGATACAACTCAGAGTAGAGAAATAAAGAAATGAGAGTAAAGGCAGACCCAAGCTCTGGTCTAACGATTTTCAGATCAAACTCCAAGAAGGGTGGACAGGGTCAGAAAGAGATAGCAAAAATGGGAGACAAAGAAACAACCCCTTAAAGAAAGAAAACGAGGAACAGCTAGAAAAGGAAGTATATGAAACAGAGACATGCAATATGTCACAAAAAAAATTCAGAGTAAGGGCCATACAATTATTAAATCAACTGGATGAGAAAATGAACAACTTATGTAAGAATAAAGAGGAAAATATATAATTAAAATAGAAAACACAATGGAAGGTTCCAACACCAGACTAGAAGTGGAGGACCGAATTAATGAGTTAGAATATAAAGCAGAAAAACACACCCAATTTGAATAGCAATTGGAGGGGGGAAAAAATACAAAGCAGGAGAGCCTAAGGGAGCTTTGGATCAACATTAAACACACATATAACAGGGGTGCCAGAAGAACAAGAAGAGGAGCAAGGGTTATAAACCTACTTGAAGAAATGACAGAAAAAGTTCCTGATTTAGGAAAGAAAAGTCACACAGGCACAGAGAGTCCCAAATAAGATGAACCAAAAAAGACCCACACCAACATATCGTAATTAAAATGGCAAACATTAACGACAAAGACAGAATCTTAAAAACTTAAAGAGAGAGAAAGAGAGTTACCTACAAAGGAACTCCCATTATATTATCAAATGAGTTCTCAACAGGAACACATAAGGCAAGAAGGGAATGGAATGAACTATACAATGTGATGAAAATCAAGGGACTGAATCCAAGAATACTCTATACAGCAAGATTATCATTCAAAATTGAAGGGGAAATCAGGAGCTTCACAGACAAAGAGGTTAAGTGAGATTATCACTATCAAGGAAGAAATGCAAGAAATGCTAAAGGGACTGTTGTAAAAAGAAGAAATAGAAAGCGAAAGAGGAACACAGGCATAAAAGAATAAAAATGGCTATAATCAAGTACCTATCAATAATAATCTTAAACATAAATGGATTAAATGCTCTAATCTAAAGGCATTGGTGGCTGAATGGGCAAGAAAACATGACCCATACATATACTGTGTACAAGAAACCCACCTCAGAGCAAGAAACTCACATAGGCTGAGTGTGAAGGGATGGAAAAATACTTTTCAGGAAAATGAAAATGATTAAAAAAAAAAAAAAAAAAAAAAAAAAGCTGGGGTAGCAATACTTATATCCAACAAAATAGACCTCAAAGTAAATGCGATAAGAGGCCACTTCATAATACTATTATAAGAGTATATAACTCAGAATGATTCTCTCCCATCATTGATGCTTCTATCTCTCCCTCTCCCTTCCTCTCTACAATAATAAGTTAATAAAGAAGAAGCTGGAATTAGAACTGAAATAATCAATGGAACACTTTAAGGAGAGATCCCTGATACCCAAGGTCTGAAGGTGGAGACCGCAAATAGACTGGTAGGCGGGGTGGAATCTCAAAGGATGGGCACCCACAGACAGCAACTGAAGTTGCTGGGAGATATATCAGCTGTTAGGGGCGGTGTGTGTGTGTGGGGGAAGGGGGGATGTTCCACTGATAACTCTGGGATCTAATCCCTAAGCTGGACTCCCCGGCAGAGAGCTCCAAACTGAAGAGGGTACCATGTAACATTTAGCTGTGAAAAGCAGTGGGGTGTTGTCTGCTAGGGATTGGCAGTTGAAAGCTCACATACCCTCTTAAAGGGACAACGCATACAAATTCTCTGTAGAGCCTGGCTCCCACCTCCTCATGGTCACTCTCAGCGTGGGTGGGGCCTATGAATGGGTGGGAACAATCCGCCTCACGGTCCCTTCCCCCAGATATCAGGCACTGATCCCCAATGGCGAACAGGAAACTGGAGGTGAGTGGTGGGGCCAGCTGCGGGAAGCTGGCCCTGATCACAGGCCAGGCTTAGGGACTATACACACACACAGATTTCGTGTGTTGGGCCTGTAGTCTATACAATAAAGGCTAATATGCAAATAAACCAAACAGTGGAACGACCAGTCACTGTGATGCATACTGACCATCAACACTGGAGCTGCCATCAGGTGGTCAGTGCACTCCCACAGAGGAATGCAGTTCAGTCCGAAGCCGGGCTCACAGCTGGTGAACACAGCGGCAGTGTCCAGAGTTTCTCCCGCCTCTGTGGCAGGGCTAAAGATGTCTGAGTGATTGCTTAGGCTCGCTCCCCTTGGGCCTATTCCCCTGAGGGCTCCCGGACTAAGAGAGGGCACAGGACAGGCGGAACGATACTGCTGAGTGCACAAATTTTGTCCCTCTTGTATGGAATAAAAAAGGACTTTGAATAGCTGCAGCAATCTTGAGAATGAAGAACAAAGATGGAGGGATCACAATACCAGGTATCAAGCTATATTACAAAGCCACTATTCTCAAAACTGCGTGGTACTGGCACAAGAACAGCTATATATAGACCAATGGAACAGAAATGGAGCCAAGCCATTATGCTGAATTGATATTTGACAAAGGAGGCCAGAGTATACAAATGGAGTCAAAACAGTCTCATTCATGAATGGTATTGGGAAAATAGGAGAGTTACCTACAAAAAAATGAATCTCGACCACCAACTGCACCAACACAAAAACAAACTCAAAATGGATAAAGGACTGAAATGTAAGATGGAAAGCCATAAAAATCTTAGAAGAAGCCATATGCAGCAAAATATCAGACATATGTTAGAGCAATATCTTTACTGATTCAGTTCCTAGTGCAATGGAAACTTAGGAGAAAATAAGCAACCAGAACCACATCAAAATAAAAAGCTTCTGCACAGCAAAAGAAACCATCAACAAAACAACACTGCATGGGAGAACTAATTTATCAATGTTATCTCCGATGAGGGTTTGATCTCCAAAATTTATAGGGAACTCATACAACTTAACAAAAGGAAGAGAAGCAATCCAATAAAAAAAAAATGGGCAAAAGACTTATATAGACACTTTTCGATTGTGGATATACAGACAGCCAAGAGACAATGAAAGCATGCTCAAAGTCACTAATCATCTGAGAGAAGCAAATCAAAATGACAATGAGGTTCCATCTCACACCTGTCAGAATGGCTATCAAAAACAAATCAACAAACAACTGCTGGTGGGAATACTTTGGAAAACAGTATGGCGTTTCCTCAAAAAATTAAAAATGGAACTCCCATTTGAGCCAGTAATCCCACTTCTAAGAACATATCCCAAGAAACAAGAAACACCAATCAGAAAGGACATGCACCTCTATGTTCATAGCAGCACAATTTACAATAGCTAAGATTTGGAAACAGCCTAAGTGCTCATCAGCAGATGAGGGCCGGTGATACGCCGAAATCGGTTTGGCTCAGTGGTAGAGCGTTGGTCTGCGGACGGAAAGGTCCCAGGTTCGATTCCGGTCAGGGGCATGTACGTTGGTTGCGGGCACATCCCCGGTAGGGGCTGTGCAAGAGGCAGCTGGTTGATGTTTCTCTCTCATCGACGTTCCTAGTTCTCTATCTCTCTCCCTTCCTCTATGTAAAAAATCAATAAAATATAGTAAAAAAAATAAATAAATAAAAAATAAAAATAAAAACTGTGATACATCTACACAATGGAATACTACGCTTCTGTAAAAAAGAAAGAACTCTTACCATTGGTAACAACATGGATGGACATGGAGAGCATTATGCTAAGCAAAATAAACCAGTTGGAGAAAGAGAAATATCACATGATCTCACTCATTTGTGGAATATAATGAACAACATAAACTGCTGAACAAAAATATATCCAAAGTCAGAGAAGCATTGAACAGACCGTCAAACTTCAGAGGGAAGGTAGGGGGGGGGGGGAAGTAAGAGATTAACACAGGACCTGTATGCCTATATGTAAGCATAACCAATGGACACAGACAATAGAGGGGTGAGGGCATGTGCTGGGGGTGGGAGTAGTCAGGGAGAGGTCAATGAGGGAAAAGGGAGACATATGTAATACTATATGTAATACTTTAAACAATAAAGAATTAAAAAAAAAAAAAAAAGAATATATGTCTAGCCCAGCAGCTGTGGTTCAGTGCTTGGGGGCTGACCTGTGTGTGCATCTGGAGGTCACTGGTTCAATTCCTGGTCAGGGAACATGCTCAAGTTGCAGGCGATATGTAGGAGGTAGCCAATCAATGATATTTTCTCTCATCAATTATTTTCTCTCTCTCCCTCTCCCTCCCTTCCTCCCTCCCTAAGATCAATTAAAAACACATCACATATATAAAAAAGATAAAAAGAATATATGTGTATATTTAAATCTTTCTTGCACTGACCTCATCAATAAAAGGTATTAGGACCACAGCTTCCCATTCCTGTTGTTTCCCATTTAGGTCCGTTTTAAAATCAGGTGGATAATATTCTATAATGGGTGATTCCTCACTGGTCATCAAATGCTGTTGGAAAGACAAAATAGTAAAATACAGATATAAGATTATCAATATAGCTTTTTGTTAATATATTTATAGTATTTCATCAAATGTTAGTTTAAAATTGCTAAGCAAAGCACTACAAAATTTTTATGTCCTAGATACGTTGCAACATACTATATTTTCATTTTCACCTATGATACTTCTAACTTCACTGCTACTCATTACTTTCCTATTCCAGTGGTCATGTGGCAAAACTATCTGTATTATGAATTTTAACTTAATTATTTCTATCTTGTTTTTTAACTCTTCATTTCTACCTAAATTCTGTTTTTATTTCACAGGCTTCTAATATTCCTCCATTTTTCACCTTAAATTAAATAATTTACTTTCATGCCCTAATCATCTGATTTTATTAAGGGCCATTTGAATATTTATAACTTCAATTGTGGGCCATACAAAATTATAAATTTAAAAATTAGCAGGCTATATGTGGTCAAGCATTTAACTCATCTTTAATGCTTTGGCAGGGCCAGACCAAATAATTTCATGAGCTTTATGCACCCTTTGGGCCAAACATTCCCCACCCCTACTCTAGAATGAAATGATTTTTATGCTCAGAATCAGCTTTGTAGGCTTAGCATAATTTTGGTAACTCAATTGCCCCTAAATATCTCCCCCCATGTTATGTGAAATAATGTTAACCATGGAAAAGCCTTTCATTCCACAATTTAATAAATGAAATGCTTAAATCCCAAACATAAACAGAGAGAAATGACTTATCAGAATCATACCTATTCCAATAGGTAGAAGGTAAAAGTACAAGAATAAATCTGCAAATGTTTGGACAAAGTAGATGGCTTCAAATTTTTCCTGTCTCAGTTTATTGTCATCAGTGCAGAGACAAACTAAAGATTTAGATAGAAGTGCTAAAAATGAAAAAGCTATGCTCTAAATGGTTTATAGAGTTTGCTTACATTTTTAAAACAAAGCTAACTTTAAGTCAGAATTATTTTTCAAAGTAATCAGAAATATTTAAGAACAACTGTATTTAAAAATAAAAATATATTTATCTATTTGGATTCTATGTTTCCAGGTTTGGAGAAAGAGCTCCCAAATATAAAAAAGAACATAAAAACATTTAATTCTAAAATCCTACCTGGTAGCATGTAGGAAGTAAATTTTTGCTAGCTGCTGGAAGTACAGCAAGAAGTTGCTCGAATGGCATAAAAGGTTTTCCAAGTTCAAAATGGATTTTCAGTGTACTGATGTTGCGTATATCAGACAGGAAAGGTGCATAATGGTAAGGATAATACCTATAAAACAAAACTGAGTTTTAAAAAATTGGCAATGTTATGAAAGAGGTCAATATTAAGTACATATGTCGCCATATTATAACAACACATAATAGTTCTAAACAAAAAGACTATCACCAATACTTCTACCACTTATATATAAGAAATCAGTAACCTGGGAAAAATTGGGTCAAAGAGAGCAACAAATTTTATATTTACTTAATTTTTAAAGTACAGCTTCTCATTTCTAAAACTGGAATGTACAATGTAATTGAAGTATATACACAGTGTTTTAGTTCTCCAAATGTAAAGTACAAATCTTTCAATCAATAAAATCTCAGAATGAGCCCTAGCTGATTTGGCTCAGTGGATAGAGCATTGGCGGAAGGGTCCCGGGTTCAATTCTGGTAAAGGGCACATGTCCGGGTTGTGGGCTCGATTCCCAGTGTGGGAGTACAGGAGGCAGCCAACCAATGATTCTCATCACTGATGTTTCCCTCTCTCTCTCTCCCTTCTTCTCTGAAATCAATAAAAAAAAAAAAAAATTCTCAGAATGAAGTAATGAGGTAGTCAGAAGAATCTCAAAAGTTTCATGTGGGTGTGGGTCTTTGCCATAGGACAAAAAGAACAGTAAAGCTGAGCTCATATGATATGGCTTTTATTAGTCAGCTCTAAGAACTTTTATATTTAAATTAGTATACATATATTACTGTTTGTGATAAGGATTAAAATGTTTATCAATCATACAACTATTTTTATTTTTCATAACTTCCCATCTTTAACTACAGGTATAAATATTTTTAGAAAGCTTTGTATGTACAATTTTTTTTAAAAAGTTCAACGTTCTTGCCAGGACCGGTTTGGCTCAGTGGATAGAGCGTCGGCCTGTGGACTGAAAGGTCCCAGGTTCGATTCTGGTCAAGGGCATGTACCTTGGTTGTGGGCACATCTCCAGTAGGGTGTGTGCAAAAGGCAGCTGATAGATGATTCTCTCTCATCGATGTTTCTAACTCTCTATCCCTCTCTTTTCCTCTCTGTAAAAAATCAATAAAATAAATTAAAAAAAAAAAGTTCAATGTTCTTAATGTTTGACTAAGAATGCTCAAAAATTAAATATTTTTATATTACACAATTATAGCTTATTTCAAAAGAATGGAAAACTTTAAGAGGCAGAATGGCATGTAGAATAATGGAAAATAGTATAAACTTTGGAATCAGATAGGCTTGAACTTGATTCTTTGTTGTGTGTATGACCTTAGAAAGATTATTTAATCTCTTTGAGCCTCATCTGCAAAAGGCAGAGGACAACACTTCATTTAAATAGTTGTGAGGATATGAGAACATGCTTTTTAAGTGCTAGGCCTTACTACTGATACAATAATAGGAATAATAGACTCATCCTCTTAAAAAATGACAAATCAAAGATTTTTGTCATTAGAATACTCTCCAAAGAGTTCCTGAGAATCAGGTAAGATAGTGGAAACCATTTTTTTAAAGGCTGTTATAAGTAAAATCATAACTAGTCACATTATCCTGTTTTGGTTTGTTTTACTATGTGATGGTTTAAAATAAAACTTAGCAGAGGTGCTTTGAAAACAAAACACTTAGGCTGGGACCGGTTTGGCTCAATGGATAGAGCGTCAGCTTGGGGACTGAAGGGTCCCGGGTTCGATTCCGGTCAAGGGCATATCCCCAGTAGGGGGTGTGCAAGAGGCAGCTGATCGATGACTGTCTCTCATCGATGTTTCTCCCTTTCTCTCTGTATAAAAAATCAATAAAATATATTTAAAAAAAGAAAAAAAGAAAACAAAACACTTAGAAGTCTCTACTTTCCCATGCATTTTCTGCTTTGTTTATTTTTCTATTTGGGTAGATAATTTGGAAATGTAGATGGTACTTAATGGAATAGGAAGCATGAGAGAAATGAAAATTATTACTATTTTCAGAAAAAGCAAATCATTTTTTTCTCCTTTATCATTTCAAGTCTAACATTCAAATAACCCAATTCCTCAATAATTATTCCTGATAGAAAAATATTCTCAAACACACAAAATGTGAAAAGGAATATAATGAACATTGACTAGCTAATGTGGCTCAGTTGGTATAGTGTCGAACTATAAACCAGGAGGTCATGGTTTCATTCCCAGTCCCAGCACATGTCTGGGTTGCAGACACCATCCCCAGTAGGGTACGTGCAGGAGGCATCCATCAATGGTTACCTCTCATCATTGATGCTTCTATCTCTCTCTCCTTCCTTCCTCTCTAAAATCAATAAAATATATATATATATTTTATCTAATAAGAGTAATAATATGCAAATTGACTATACCTCAGCCATGTCCACCAGCCATACCCACTGGCCTGTATGCAAATTAACCCCAACCAAGGTGTCTGAGGCTACAGAGAGCATGACAGAGACTTGGGTTTCCCAGGCAATGGAAGAAGTCAAGCTTTTCCCACGCCCTGGCTGGCCTAACCCTCCACTCAAGGCTACAAAGTTTCAATTATAGAAGGTAAAACAAATTCATACAGAAATGGCTGCCACCAAGAAGCAAGCAGAAGGCTTGGCTCTGCTCCAGGCTACAAAGATTCAATTGTAGAAGGTAAATAAATTTCAGATACCAGGGCCTCTGCTTGGGTCACCAGGGTGTGTGGCTGGCCTGCAAACCACCATAGGCCCCTCACCCAAGCCGCCCCACACCCCAAGGGAATCCCACCCTGATCTGGGACACCCTTCAGGGCAAACCAGCTGGCCCCCACCCATGTACCAGGCCTTTATCCTATCTAATAAAAGAATAATATGCAGATCGACCATCACTCCAACAAACAAGATCAAGATAGCTGCCTCCATGTGGTCAAAGATCCTGCCCCCATGTGGACACAAGATGGCCTGTAAGGGAAGGCAGTTGGGAGGCACCAGGCCTCAAGGGAGGGCAGATGGGAGTGATCAACCCTGCAGGGGAGGGCAGTTAGGGGTGACCAGGCCGGTAGAGGAAGGAAGTTGGGGACAAACAGGCTGGCAGAGAAGCAGTTAGACATCAATCAGGCTGGCATGGCAGTGATTAGGGCATGATCAGGCTGGCAGACAGAAGCAGTTAGGGGCAATCAGGAAGGCAGGTAGGTGAGCAGTTGGGAGCCAGCAGTCCTGGATTGTGAGAGGGATGTCCGACTACAGGTTTAGGCCAGATCCCACCAGGATCAGGTCTAAATGGGCAGTCGGACATCCCTCAAGGGGTCCCAGATTGGAGAGGGTGCAGGCTGTGTTGAGGGACACCATTACCCCCTCTGCAAGAATTTCATGCACCGGGCCTCTAGTTATATATATAATAAAGAACACAATGGACAACTCCATATAAAAATCACTCAAACCCAATAATTATAAAGACTTTAATCAGTCTTGATTCATCATGGCAAAAAAATTTAAATCCTTAGATTAACAAAGAGTTTTTTTTTTTTTTTTTTATGGGACATTTGCCAGAGCTGAGAGTATCTTCATTACACAAAGGTCTTTTTAAAAGTATTTTTTTTTATATAGGAAGGGATTACCTGTATTTCCTTTAAACTTGGCTATACCAACCTTTTAAAAAATACCACAAAAAATAGAAATAAAAGGAAAAGACATCCCCAAATGACACTATAATAGAATTAACCATTGTTACAAAATCAAAACATTTGTTTTTGTGTTCCCTCACCAGCTCCAGGACTGAACTCCATGATAGTAATAGTGCAAAATCCATTGAATTGCCTGAATATAACATGCAGCTTGATCAGCCAGAAAATCACTGAAAATAGAAAAGAATATTTTCATTATGACATAATTTTTTAAGGACAGGCTTTAGAGCATGATATCTGCTGATACCACACTCTGCCTCAATACGTTTTATTTAATTAATGTATAATTATAATTAGAAAAACTCCAAAATATTTAGTTAAAAAAATTACATCCTGTTCAAGTTTGCCTTCTCTTTTTCCTAAACTGACCACCAGAGTATTTAAATTTGCTGTGCATATTTACTCACTCAATGTACTATGCTTTGGTTTAAAGGTTTAGGATTTAGCCAATGCAACTTTCTATAGAGTGGCACTACCCTTAAGTAGTCAAGGGGCTTTGAGAGACAGGGATGGGAATTTTCTTCCTCTGGGATGATGCCTGAGAGAATCACAGGAAATCAGAAAGATCTTCAAATCTGGTTATAGCAGCTAGAAAACACTTTGAAAAGTGCTACATATCCACTGACAATTTTCCCTCTAACCCCTTTTTCTTACTGAAAAACCATCATGTAATCTATATATATAAAAGCCGAGCGACCTTCACCGCAGAATGACCAATGGCTATGATGCACACGGCAGCATACAACCAGCCTGGGCCCAATCCTCCATGCCCACTCCCCACTAGCCCAGTCCAATCAGCCCCCAACAGAAGGAGCTGAAGCAGGAGCATGGTGGGCAACAACTTGACCAGAGTTAACCATAGCTTCCCAAGCCCCAAGTCAGAGGTGGGGGTGGGTGCACAGCAACTGGGAGTGCCTCCAGCCACCATCATCAAGCCTTGGGACCACCAGCCATGGTTACGTCACATGATCCCCAAGAGCTGCTGCCACTGGCCAGCCCCAGTAGTTTGGGGACCAGGAGGAACGGGAGGACAAAGCAGTGACCCTGAAAGGGGTGAGGCCGGAGACACAGCTGGGAGAGTCTGACTGGCAGCTGGGGAAGCGGCACTCTGGGAACTGGGCTTGAACCCCGCCCGGACGCTGCCCATTTTCATGGAAACTGCATCCACATGCAGGTAGGTGGGAGGGTACCGCAGCCACAAATGGCATCAGGGACCTGAGTCCCCAGACAGCCCTCTCCCTGCAGAGCACCTCTATACCTTCCTCGTACTCCCCACTTTGAGCACCGATCTCCCCGGCAGCTCCCCACACAAACCACTTCGTCACAGGTTATTATAAATGTTAGCAGACCAATCGAAAACTTGAATTTCATTTTCCCAAAGACTTAGAAGAAAAAAATACTATTAATTCTTTTATTTAATGATCATTATTCTGGCTTTTAAAATGGTCATCAGAGGCAAATTGCAGCACCTGGCACTGGAATGCCTGTGTACAAGTTTCTTCCTCTGCCAAGGGGTTGGGGCTGTTAAGGGCTTCTTGGCCGATTGCAATGATTTCGGGGTGTGTGCTTACACGCAGGGTGCACACCAGTGACCAGGACGCCAACAACAAAGCGATGGGCAGGCCGTTGCCCCTAAACCTGACTCTGTCCCAGGCAGAGAGGTGACTTTAACCAGCCCTTTCCCATTCCCTCCACGAATTGCCACACCCTACTGCCTCATGGTCTCCCCCCTCCCATCCTCCATTTCTCCCCCTCTCTGCACAGGAAATGGTGTGTATGTCTGACTCAGGAGGGACAGCATTGCCAGAGGGCTGGGGTTGCCTTTCATTCCCAGCTGCCCAGAGTCAGGGAGCACTGAAACTTGCAACCCTTCAAGTAGCCAGCCTGGCTGTGGTATTACAGGACTTCGGTGGTGAGTGGGTGAGGTTCAGCTTTCTAGAAAGTCTGGACTTTTCTGGGCTTTTGAAAATTGCCCTGGATTCAGCCTCCCTTCACCTGCCTCTCCCACTTTCAAACCAAAGCACTCGGATGCCAAGAAGGGACCAGGGGGTTTGAGGCATCCTGGCCTGGGGTTGCAGGAGAAGCCTCCAGCCTGGTAGTGCTGTTTTTCTAGGAACTGGGGAAGAGGGTACTATGTTGTGTGCCCTGAGAAAGCTTTGTTGTGGTGGAATGGGAGTGTGTAGTTTTGGAAATGTAGCTTTCCAAGGCCTGGGGTAGTGGGTGCTCCCAGCAGAGGGGAAAGGCAGCGGAACTGACCTTCCTGCTCTTGGCAGCTGATTTAGGGGAACCCCTTTCTTAAGCCACCTCCTCTTACTTGCCATGTGGCCTAGCCTTAGGCAGCTTTAACTCTGTTCCAGTACAAGATCTGAGCTGAGAGAAGGAGCTTTGGGGAATGTGTCAAAAAAAAAAAAAAAAAAAATGACAATAGCCGAAACAGTGTCTAAACCAGCGTTCACAAGTATTTTCAGATGGAGCATGTTCACCATAAGCTTCCTGAAGTATACGATAACTTTCAGCAGTACTTTTCTTCAAAATAAAATAATTAAAACTTCCCACAAATGCTTTTTTTTTTTTGGCATGAAATTTGACATTTTAAGCATAAAAATATCTATGATATTAACACCACAAAATTTGACATATGCAGTTTTGAAGCTTGCTGTCAATACAACAAAATAGATTCATATCAAATCACATCTGTATCAACATATGTGTAACTCCCATCTACTGGAAAAAAAAAATCCGCATTATTAACTGGTACACCTGGTATGAATAATGTTATGTATCTCTCTAAATTCTTATGGACTTTCTATCATTACAAGTTTAGCAGTTCTGCAGATTCTGGTCTAGATCTAGATGGCAGAGATGGTGACTAAGATGAGGAAGAGATGGAGGTGATTATAATGAACCTTCTCATTGGAAATATAGATTTATAATTTTTTACTATTATAAAAAACTTTGTAATAAACATCATTGTGTATAAAAATCTTCTGTATTTGAGTTTATATTTTTAAGATCGAAAACAATTAGAAATATTGGGTTAATTCTAATTGTTTTAGAATTAACTTCCCATCCCAACTGCAATCAAGTTATATATCTGTCCTTTTCAAAATAATAGTTTACAAAAGTTAGGGAATAGGTCTTATTTAAGGGATAAATATTTTAAAGGCTTCTGGTTATATGTTTTCCAAAATAATTTTACAAATTTATATTCTCACCAGTAATTAAAAAAAGAACTATACTATATCCCTGGGCCATTAATGAAAACAACAATTTTAAAAGATTTGTTTATTTTCTAGGCAAACAAATTGCATCTCATTTTCATGTCTGTATTTTAATCTATAAAAGGAAAATAAAACCAAAGGCTAGTTACCTATCAAGTTATGCAGTTAGTGCCAACTGCAGGTACTATAATTCTATATAACTGTAATCAAGAAAATAACAACTAAAAAATAAAGGATTAAAAGCATAACTATTATAAATATTTTATTTCTCAATAGCAGCTATAATAGAACACATTTTGAAAAGTGCTATTATATCCACTTACAATTTTCCCTCTAATCCCTTCATATTTTTCAAAAACTATAATCTAAAGTAAAATAAATCTTGACCAGACCAAAAAAGAAAAAAAAGAAAAAAGCCTTAGGCTAAAGCCAAAAAGTGGCTATAAACTTGTTAATAGTGTCTATTACCAAAATTCAGGTAGAGATGCACTTAAATATCAAGTCTCAAAAGTCTTACATAGTAATGCCACCTGACAAACCTTCAAATGAGCTGGTGAACGTACTAAAATTCCTAGATCTCGTTATTGGAATTCTACTTATCTTAAAGAACTATTTTAAGAATAAAATAAGGTAATATTTTTTAAATGCTGAAATAGTGCTTGGCACTTGGAAAACCCTTTAAGTGTTGTTCATTAAAGTAAATAAAATGGGATCTTATGTAATTCATACTGTGTGCTGCAGTTTAAAAGTATGCAAGCCACTATTTTAGAGATCATGTTTTTAAGAAAATTTTGGATAGATATTAATCTATGATTGAGCCAGATGGCCGATGAGGTAAGTGTGCTGTGAGCTTTAGAAGACAGAAGCATAGAACTAACCATTTCTATATGGCAATTTTTATCATAGATGAATACATCAGTTAATATTGCCTTCTCCAAAATCATACTAGTTGAAAGATTGAAAATAATTTATGAACCCCAAAAATCCTTCTTTCACACGACCTTAACTACCAAAATTATGCTGTTATATGAAGAACTACAAAATCTAATTTTTTTCTACTTTAAAGTATAATAAACATTGGCAAAACCATACTCAGACACTATGTCCACTCCCATCTTCGTCATGTAATATGTCCTCTTATATTGTCTAAACTCAGTTTCAAATAGGTCATCTTCTTCAGTCTCATCCTCCAAACGATCTAAAAGAAAAACAAAACAAAACAAGAAACAGTGCCTAACAATTATGAATATTCTGTTTTTATACCTAAAGCTTTGATATATGCATAGCAAAATAGATGCTTTTAAGCTTTCAAGGAAATTCATTCCATCCAATATTATTGTATTAGTAAAACTAGAGGTCTGGTGCAGAAAATTCCTGCACAGAGGTGTGTGTCCCTCAGCCCAGCCTGCACCCTCTCCAATCTGGGACCCCTTGCAATCCAGGACTGCTGACTCCCAACCGTTTGCCTGCCTTCCTGCCTGATTGTCCCTAACTCTTCTGCCTGCCAGCCTGATCACACCCTAACCACTCCATTGCCAGCCTGACTGATGTTTAACTGCTCCCCTGCCAGCCCGATTGATCCTAATTGCCCTCTCCTGCTGGCCTGGTCACCCCTAAATGCCCTCCACTGTCGGCCCAATTGCCTCTGTCTTCCCCTGCTTGCCTGGTCCCCTCCAACTGTCCTCCTCTACAGGCCTGGTCCCCCCCAACTGCCCTCCCTTGCAGATCTGATCCCGCTCAACTGCCCTCCCCTGCTGGCCATCTTGTGTCCAAATGGGGTAGCCATGTGTGTTGGGGTGATAGTCAATTTGGATATTACTTCTTTATTATAGAGGAAATATAACAACCATTCTGTCCAAAATGTAACATATCAAAATAATATAATTTGTACTCACCCTTAGAAATTACAGCTTCTTCTCTATTTTTATCTAAAGCAGCCCAACACAGGGAGTTTTCCTGGCCCTATAAAAATCAATATAAAATTAATGGCAAGATACATTTCAAAGCGAGACATTTCATAGAGAAATTTAAAAAATACTAAAAATAGGGAGGAGATCCAAGATGGCTGCGCCCAGGTGAACACCTAGCCACAGCCGCACACAATTTCAATAAAATACAACTAAAATATAAAACGGACATTGCCCAGAACTACAGGAAGGTTGACTGACTGGAAATTCTACAGCGAGAAGCAAGGAGAAAACCAGAAGGAGGCGCGGAGGAGCTGGAAAAGCCCAAGGTATGGAGACGCGGCGCGGAGAGGACGGAGCCGGAGAGGAGGGAGGCCGAGTGCCTGGCGGGTGTTCCCAAGCGGAAAGGAGATAAAACTCCGACTGTGCTGGGCCCCCGACTGCTCTGAACCCCAGTTCTAGGCCAGACCCCGGGCCCTCAGGCTCAGCCATAGGGAGCCGGGCTGTAAGGTGGAACCCCGGGGAGAGGCGAAAGGAGGTCCCAGCGGCGCGCAGAAGGGACTGTCGGCTGTGCCGCGGGATTGCCCTGACGGGAAGGAGACTGGGGCTCCAGACTGCTGTGAACGCCACCTCCAACTCCACTTCCAGCTGAACTGAACCCCAATACCGGGCTCATTGTGGGAGAGCATAGGCTGTTTGGCAGTAGGCGAAAATCGAGGGCACCTTTCTCTCAGAGGTGCTGGCAGCGAGCACTGAAGGACCCGCATAGGGCGGGGCTGACGGAAGCCAAAGCTGCAGGCTCCACCCTGAAACCCCATCCCATCTGTAACTGCGAAATGTGACAACAAAATAGATCACAAACGAAAGAAATGGAGGACAAAAAGCGTCTGGATATAGAGTTCAAATCTACGCTTATAAGGTTTTTCAAGAATTTCCTAGAAAAGATGGATAAGGCCTATGAGGATATGAAAAGAGATCAACTAGAATTAATAAGGAGTCAACAAGAAATGATAAGGGATCAACAAGAAATAAAGAATACATTGACTGAAATAAAAAATATTTTACAGAGTCCTAAAAACAGAAGGGAAGATCGCAAGAATCAAGTCAAAGATTTGGAACATAAAGAGCCAGAAGACACTCCTCCACAGAAGCTAGAAGGCAAGAGAATCCAGAAAATTGAAGATAATGTAAGAAACCTCTGGGACAACTTCAAGCGAACCAACATCAGAATTATGGGGGTCCCAGAAGATGAGAGAGAGCAAGATATCGAAAACATTCTGAAAGAAATAGTGACAGAAAACTTCCCCCACCTGGTGAAAGAATTAGACTTACAAGTCCAGGAAGCACACAGAACTCCAAACAAAAGGAATCCAAAGAGGACCACACCGAGACACATCATTATTAAACTTCCAAGAGCAAAAGACAAAGAGAGAATATTAAAAGAAGCAAGAACAAAGAAGGTAGTAACCTATAAAGGAGCACCTATACGATTGACAGCTGACTTCTCAACAGAAACCATGCAGGCCAGAAGGGAATGGCAAGAAATATTCAAGGTGATGAATAGCAAGAACCTACAGCCAAAAATAATCTACCCGGCAAAGCTATCACTCAGAATCGAAAGCCAGATAAAGAGCTTCACTAATAAAAAAAAGCTAAAGGAGTTCATCACTGCCAAACCAGAATTATATGAATTGCTGAAGGGGGTTCTTACAGAAGAGAAAGTAAACAAAGATAAAAATTATGAACAACAAATATGTAACTATCAACAAGTGAATCTAAAAACCAAGGAAATTTAAAAAATCTGATGAACAATATTAACTGCTGAATATAATAGAATCAGAGGTATGGAAGGGGAGTGAACTGACGATTCTTGGGGAAAAGGGGAGAGGGGGGGCATGGGAAGAGACTGAATATAAACTGTGCACCTATGGATGAGGACAATGGGGAGAGGGGAAAGGGCAGAGGGTGGGGTGGGAACCTGGTGGAGGAGAGCAATGGTGGGGGGGGGAGGAACATTTGTAATAATATGAACAATAAAAACTTATTAAAAATAAATAAATAAATAAATAAATAAATGAAAAATAATAAAAAAATAAAAAATACTAAAAATAGGGAGTAACCAAGATGACGGCCTAGGTAAGCACCTAAGCTACCGCCTTGCCCAACAATTTCAAAGCAACAACTAAAAGACATAATGGACATCATCCAAAACCACAGGAAAGCTGGCTGAGTTGGAAATCTACAACTAGAAAGGAGAGAGGCTCACGGATCAGGGGAGCTGCAAAGCACTGAGGTAGGGAGACTTGCGCACAGAGAGGAAGGGCAGCTGAGTGTCTGGCTGGTGGGAGGGGGAAGGAAGCCCCCGACTGCACTGAACCCCAATTCCGGCCAAAACTCCGTGGACCCAGGCCCATACAGGTGGAGTCTGGACTGTAGAGAAAGGCATCCGGAGACTCAGAAACTGGGAGACTTAGGGGAGCCAGGAGCCGCAGCGGGCAGGGTCTAGAGGCACTCATGCACGTGCGTGTGTGTGTGCGTGCGTGCAGAAAGGTCTGATTGCAGAGGTTGCCACGGCCTCTCCATAGTGGAAGGAGTCAGAAGCTCCAGATTGAATTGAATCCTAGTTCCGACTGCTCTGGGATTAAAAATATTATAGAGACCCAACCCAGTTCTGGGTTAGCCCCTGGAGCACCCATGCTCTTACAAGGGGAATCTGGACTTTCAGGCAAACTCAGGGGATCCCTGGAAGACAGAGGTCTGAGGTGCACGCACAAGGGCAGGGCTGAAAAGAAGCCAAGACTGTCAGCTCAGCCCTGAGGCTCCGTCCCATCCACGCTGAGCACAGAGGCTGTTGCAATTTTGCAAGTCTGATCCTCTAAGACTGTCTCCAATACAGAAGGTATCGTGGCGTAGACACAGCTGATACATCAAATTGGCCTGGAAGTCAATTCCTCCCAGGGATACCAACAGCAATCAACACTTAACTACAACAAGGCTGTACACGCAGTCCACAAAGGGGAGTACCAAGAGTGTCTACCTTAGGTAACTGAAGAGGCTGACCCACCAAGCACACAAAGCCACCCTACCAACTCAGGGAAGCAGCAAAAATGCCGAGACAAGAAAACAGTTCTCAAACAAAAGAAATGGAGGAGATCAAAAGACTGGATATAAAGTTCTAAACCACAGTTATAAGGTTTTTAAGAATTTCTTAGAAAAGGCTGATAAATTTAACAAGACCCTCAAGGATATGAAAAAGGACCAATTAGAAATTAAACATACACTGACGGAAATAAAAAATATTATACGGAGACCCAACAGCAGACTAGAGGAACACAAGAATCAAGTCAAAGGATTGTAATACAAAGAGGCAAAGGAGACTCCTCTGGAGAAGCAAGAAGAGAAGAGAATCCAGAAAGTTGAAGATAGTGTAAGAAGCCTCTGGGACAACTTCAAGCCTACCAACATCAGAATTATGTTGGAAGAAGAGTAAGATACTTGAAGAAATAATGTCAGAAAACTTCCCCCACATGGTGAAAGAAATAGACTTACAAGTCCAGGAAGCGCACAGAACCCCAAACAAAAGGAATCCACAGAGAACCACGTCAAGACATCATAATTAAAATGCCAAAGGCAAAAGACAAAGAGAGAATCTTACAAGCAGCAAGAGAAAAACAGTTATCTATAAGGGAGCACCCATACAACTATCAGCTGATTTCTCAACAGAAACTGTGTAGGGCCGGGACCGGTTTGGCTCAGTGAATAGAGCGTTGGCCTGCGGACTGAAAGGTCCCGGGTTTGATTCCGGTTAAGGGCATGTACCTTGGTTGCGGGCACATCCCCAGTAGGGGGTGTGCAAGAGGCAGCTGATCGATGATTCTCTCTCATTGATGTTTCTAACTCTCTATCCCTCTCTCTTCCTCTCTGTGAAAAATCAATAAAATATATTTTAAAAAGAAAAAGAAAAAAAAAAGAAACTGTGTAGGCCAGATGGGAGTGGCAAGAAATATTCAAAGTGATGAATAGCAAGAACCTACAACCAAGATTAGTCTACCCAGCAAAATTATCACTCAGAATTGAAGGGCAGATAAAGAGCTTCACAAATAAGAAAAAGCTAAAGGAGTTCATCACCACTAAACCAGTATTATACTAAATGCTGAAAGGCATTCTTTAAGAAGAGGAAGAGGAAGAAAAGGTTAAGATAAAAATTATGATCAACAAATAAATATATCAACAAGTGAATCTAAAAATCAAGTGAATTAAAAACCTGAGGAACAGAATAAACTGGTGAATATAATAGAATCAGGGCAAAGAAAGTGAGTGTATTGATGATTATCAGGGGGAAAGGAGTGTGGGGGGGTGCAGGAAGAGATAGGATTAAAATCGTACACCTATGGATGAGGACAATGTGGGGGAGGTAAGGGCAGAGAATGGGGTGGGAACTGGGTGGAAGGGAGCTATTGGGGAAAAAAGGAGAAACAATTGTATTATAATAACCTGAACAATATACATTTACTAAATTAAAAAAATACTAAAAATAATGGAATAATCCTTAAGTGACACACTGTAAATATTTTAAAACTAATTCTCAAATACTGTGTAAATGTTTTTGATTTTATATCACTTGTTTTCTAAAGCTATAAATCTTTATATACAGAACTTGACCATCAGGCCTCTCAAAAATATATAATAACTATCATACATATAGAAGAGTATATATTTAATTATATATGTGTTCCAAAAAAACCACACCACTTTAAATAATATTTTATTACTTAGAAAAAGTATATACAATCAATATAAAATCCATTTATGATTTATCAATTTCAACATTTTTATATGTCAAATTCTGGGCAACCAGTAACACAATATATTTGATTATGATGGAATCCAATAATTATAAATATCACTTACTCTCTGTATCTCTGGATCTCATCATTCTTATGACTCCATTGCCAAACCTCCACTTCTAAATTTTTCTTCTATGCAACTCATTTGCTTTTCTATAGTTTTTCCATCTTATCACATCCTTCATATCTATTTTCTCTCTTGTAATTTCATCTTTTCTTCCCTCTATTTTCTGACTGCCTATCTATTGCCAGTGACTCTCATTAGTTCTCCTTACTCCCTATCATTTTCTTCAGGTAAACTGGGCTTTTGCCAACTTCCTGTGCTTGGGCTGTTCCTCCAGCTCCTCTCATCTTACCAGTGTCTCTAATGCTAATCATATATGCCTGGAAGATTTGTGAAGTTTAAGGACCAAGTTGAGATGAACAGAGCCAATGATTACTGATTGATATGTAAGTTTTGTGAGCCCAGTTTCCCAAAAAGTTGCAGAGGCTGTTTACTTAAGAGAAAAAACAAAGCAGAATGTAGCCTGATGCTGCTAAGTAGCACTAAGAAAAACCTAAGCAACTAAAAGGACTTTACTAGAGAAAAATCAAGATAGTTGCCCTTCCTGGAGCAAGATTCCTAATTAGAGTACAGCAGAGAGTACAGGAAGCTCTTCAATTTCACAAGAACCCAATAATTATAGAGAAGCTGAGGAACATTTCAAAAGAGGTTTATTTTCCAAGTTACACATTTAAGACATTTTTTAGACCTTATTAGAGACTCAAGGGCCGGTGCACAAAATTCTTGCACTGGGGTGCCTATGTCCTCTCATAGTCCAGGACCCCTTGTGGGAAGTCTGCCTGCTGGCTTAGGCCTGTGCACCAAAGTGGGATTGACTGCCAGTCAAGGGCATGTATCTCAGTTGCAGGTTTTTTTGGCCCTGGTCAGGGTACATGAGGGAGGAAACCAATCCATGCGTCTCTTCTCACATCAATGTCTCTCTCTCTCTCTCTCTCTCTCTCTGTCTCTGTCTCTGTCTCTCTCTTTCTTCCCCCTCTTCCCTTCCTTCTACTTTCTCTAAAAATAAATGGTAAAAATATCCTTCAGTGAGGATTAACAACATCAAAAGAATAATGTAGCAATATTGGTTCATTATAACAAATACTCGAGGCCCAGTGCACGAAATTCGTGCGCTGGGGAGAGGGGTCAGGGGCAGGACCCTCAGCCCAGCCTGCACGCTCTCACAGTGCGGGACCCCTTGCTCCTCACCACCTGTCTGCTCACTGATCCTTAATGCTCAGCTCGCTGCTCCTTAGTGCTGTTGTGGAGGTATGAGAGGCTCCCCCTATCACCACTGTATTCGCCAGCCGTGAGCCCAGTTTCTGGCTGAATGGCACTCCCTTTTGGGAGCACACTGCCCACCAGAGTACAACTCCTGCATTGAGTGTCTGCCCCTGCTAGTCAGTGCACATCAAAGCAACCGGTCGTTCTGCCGTTCAGTTGATTTGCATATTAGAGTTTTATTATATAGGATGTTTTACAAGATACTAGTATACACCAACTAATTATACTATTCAATTACTGAGCACATAATATTTAGGAGATATTGTGCTATTAATCACAACATATATATATCATTTTACACACAAATTATTTCTACAAATAAATCACTGATCTAGTTAATGCTTCATAACATTAGATGCTATAAATATTCTCCTTTAAAAAGGTAACTAATTTTCTTGGTTCTTATATTTAGAAATATTTTCTACACTTGAAAAATAATAGACGAGCAAAGGAAACAATGTTCTTCTTTAAGAGTAAAAATAAAACGATTTTTAAAAAGATTAAATGATAGGATCTAATAGAGAAAGAGAAACCAAAACAATGTTTTAAATGTCCATAGAGAAGAAATGAAAATGAAATAAAGCAACCCAAAACCATAGGAAAGAAGAAAAACAAGGAATATCAGTTTTACTTTTACAGCTAAAAAAATTAAAGGACACCTAAAAAAATGAACACCTTTGATTTTTTCTTTTCCTTGTAGTTCCTGGCTTCTTCTGCTGCAACACCTGCGGCTTCATTGAGGTACTTGTTGCCAACTTTGCTTTCAAACCACTTTAGGTCCACAAAAACTTCACTGAAGTGCTCCCGATCAAACTGTATAGGAATATTTAAATTAACTTAAAAATCATTTAAGTATTTTCTGGAAGAATACAAACTAAACTTTTAACATGGACTACTTCTGGGAAATAGAAATCCTGAGAATGCTACTTTTTTATGCACAGGGAAATTTCATCTACTATCTGAAAATAAAAAATAATCAAATAAAAATAATTTAGATAAAATATTTATACAGAATGACCAATAGTATTATAATTACAAAAAAAATTTCTTCTGGTATTATATAATTGCTTACTGACCATTTATAGCTAACTTGGGATAAGAAAACAAAAAGTTCAGGTTACTTACATCTGATAATTTCACAAGGTATTTCTCAAATCGGAGTAAGTTGAGATACCCACTTTCATTAATATAACCTAAAAGGAACAAAATCTAAATTAGCACTAAAAGCTTTTTTTCTAAACAATTCTACAAAATTCTTTTTATAAAATGTTGCAAGTTGATATTCTAATCAAAGAAAAACACTCAATGTTGGATTCTATAACTTGCTATTACTATAATATACAATAAGTAACAACTGAAGAAAAACATAAAAATACCAGATTCATGTAATAATCCTCCTCCCACCTGTCCAATCCACAGTAACAGTTAATTAAATTGCTAGTAAGTACATTCTAGAATATATCCATTGTTCATTTGATGTTACCTTTAGAAAAGGACTGATTTCCCACTACTCCGTTGCTTTATTCAGTATCACCAGTTTGTGAATTTCCTAATTGAAAAATCCTTCCCTGATATTACTCTAATGCTTAACCCATTTAAAAAAAACTGAATTCCTATGTTTAAATGTAAAAGAACTAAGTGAAACCAACAACTTCTACCGAGTTTCTTAAATAATTTAAAGGCAGAGATTAGTTATTAATAAATGACAATGCATAATTCTGGTCATTTTGTTTATGAACTACTGAAACCAAAAACCAACAAAGCTTGGAGCCTTAGATCAAAAGAAGCCCCTTTTTTCCTACTTTAGTTATGCATGCTATAATCTAATAAACTGAGTCACATTTTTAGAATTAGTGGAGTGTTAAGTTAAAGTAGCCCCAAATGAATATTAAATTCTGCTTACCCCCAAGTTCTGGCAGGATGGTAATATATGTTCCATAAAGAAGAGGAAGTGCATCATGATTAATATGTAAATGAGGTAGATGGGGGATAAAATCATTGCCAACAAGAAATCCCATCAAAATCCAATCATCTATTATCTTTTCAATATCATATTTAAATGGGATCTTATCCTATAGTAAAATAGATTAAAAAAAGTCAAGTCCTATGAAAATTTCTACATATACATCTTTGGTCCACAGCTATATTAATACTTACTTTTAACATTGAAAACTCATAATCAATATACTCTCTCATCAAAGACAAGTGTAGGAGGTGAAATGTGGTTTCTTCTGGTGCGCATACCCTGTAATTAGATGATAAACAGAGTTATTTGTGTGTGTGTGTGTGTGTGTGTGTGTGTGTGTGTGTGTATGCTTAGAGTTAATTATATTTTTTAAGTTTAAAAATGTAGCAAAACTTAAAATAAAACTTATGAGAAGACAATTATTATACTCAGGGCATGTAATTTATATGAAAGCTGCAGGGTAAAGATAAATATATAATTGCAATTATAATACATATAGCATGAAGTTCAAAATAATTGGTTTATATTATGTTTTTTATGGAAGGACTCAGAATTAAGAAAGCCTAAATAATACATAATAGATATAAGAAACCATGGCATCTGTCCCATTTAAGGCTGTGGCCCACCAGCAGACAGCAGACAGATAAGTGAATATATACTTTTATATCTACTACAGTACAGTACAAGTCTTCAATGCTAAGGCAGCATCACTTTTTCTTATCTTTCCCTGGCTTCGTATAAAGGTCTATATTACTGGTATTAGCCTACACTCTAAGTTTAACTTCAAGAATACAAGTTAACAACAGCATATTAAAAAGATTATATACCAATAGCAAGGGGTCTATCACAGAAATGCAAACATGATTCATTATAAGAAAAAAGTTTATGTAATACACTACAGTAATAAAGAAAAAACCACCACACAATCATTTAGCAGAAATAAATCTGTCAATATTCAACACCCTTTCATGATAAAAAATAGTTAGCAAAGTAGGAATAAAAGGAAACCTCAACATCATAAATGGAATTTATAAAAAACCCATAGTTAAAAAAAACACACAAAACAAAACAAAACAAAAACACACACAAAAAAAAACAACAACCCATAGCTAACATCACACTTAATGGTCTGAAAGCTTTCTTTCTAAGAACATGAACAAGACAAGATGCTCATTTTCACTATAGTTATTCATTATTCTGATAGTCCTACAACATTATTCTGTGAGTCCTAGCCAGGGCACTTAGGCGAAAAAACAAATAAAAGGCATCTGAATTAGAAAAAAAGAAAAAACATACCTCTATTTACAGATGGCATATTCTTTCTCTCTCTCTCTCTCTCTCTCTCTCTCTCTCTCTCTCTCTCTCTATATATATATATATATATATATATATACACACACATATATATATATATATATATATTTAAAAAAATCCCACAGGATTACAGTAAGAGCTACTAGTGCAAAAAAACAAAAATTCAGCACAGCTGCAGATCAATATACAAAAGTCAGTTGTGCTTTTACACACCATTAACAAAGAAACTAAAAAGAAAATTAAGAAACAATTATACCCCCCAAAAAGAAACTCTTAGTAATAAACTTGACCAAGGAGGCAAAAGGAAAAAACAGAAGTATAAAACAAATTCAGAGACACAGAGAACAGACTTATAGTACTCAGAGGTAGGGTGAGGAGAGGAAAATGAGTGCAGGTGGTCAGAAGATACCAATTCCAGTTATAGGTTAAATAAGTCCTGGGGATGAAATGTACAGCATGGTGGTTATATTTTGTGTTTGCTTTTTTTAAATATAAGAAGAAAAAAGAAGAGGCAATGGAGTTGTACACTAAAATTACGAAAAACAGATGGAAAAAATTAGACACCACATGTTAATGCATTAGAAGACTTAATATCAAGATGTAAATACTGCCCAAAAGAATCAACAGATTCAATGCTGTCGCTAATGAAATTTCAAGGATTTTTTTTAAACAAAAATAAAAAAATCTGTCCTAAAAAATAGTATCTCAGATTACCCTCTCCCAAATAAAAGCCAAAATAAACCTGAAAAAGAACAAAGTTGGAGGTCTCATACCCTTCCTTACTTTTAAGCTACAGTGACCAAAACAGACAAACAGACCAAGGGAATGGACTACAGAGCCAAGCAATAAACCCTTGCATATATATGGTCAAGTGCTTTTCGACCAGAGGGCTAAGACCATTCATTGGAGAAAAGATAATCTTTTCAACAAGTGGTTGTGGAAAAACTGGATATCCACATGCTAAAGAATAAAGTTGGACCTTTACCTTATACTATATATAAAAGTTAGTTCAACATGGATTAAGGGCCTAAATGTAAGAGCTAAAGCTATAAAACTCCTAAAATAAAATGGAAAAAAGCTTTAGAACACTGTATTTTTCAATGATTTCATGGACATTACACTAAAAGTACAGAAAACAAAAATATAAGTTTGACTTCATCATAATAAAAAATTTTGTGATTCAAATGACTATCAACAGAATGGGAAAAAATATTTACAGATCAGATATCTGTGTAGGGCTACTATTCTTAATTTAATTTGTTTTTTCTTCCAACATATATGGAGTGTGATTTACCTTTGTGTCTTTTTGCCACCAAACCGAACCTCTTCCCTTAAAAGAGAAAAATGTGCTTCGTGGGTTGTTAATCCAAGCATAATCTGTTGAAAAATGATAAAGAAATGTTTTTATTCTCTCACTTTTTATAGTATCAGTTTCACAAAAGCAACTAAATAAAAAAATATGTTTATATAGAGAACATGATTATTTAAGGAAAATAAAACAACTTGTTAGCACATTAAATATAGAAATATCAAAATCTGATCCATTTATAGGTTATGAATGGGGTTAAAGTGAATGCACTATTCTAAGAAAAAATGTTTATATTCACATGACTTTAGACACTCACTGTGCCCACCCCCATCAAAAAAATAAATTAAAAAATCCAAAAAACCTTCTCTTGGTTTTCATACATTTCCATTGTCAGAGGAGAATGGGTAAGAAATTAAAGTCAGAAGCTTTTCCAATAGCAGAAAACAGGACTGTTCTGGAGGCCAGGATACTCTAGTATATAAAAACTCAGAAAAAACTGGAAAAGGGCATTTTCATTACTTAGTATTCTAATCCCCAAAGCACATTAGTCTAGTGAGATATATCAACCAACTACAATGTATACTGTTTTCTTTATTTCAGTACTGATTCAAAAAAACCAAAATAAAACATTTATGCAGCAATCAGAGAAATGAGAATACTAACTGGTTATTTACATATTAAACAGTGATTATTAATTTTTGTTTTATGTGAAATTATGGCATTACTTTTTTAAATAAACCTCTTTAGAGAAATAGTTATAAATTAGATGATATAAGGTCTGGGATATGCTTCAAGAATCCAGAGAAGGAAAAAGGAGACAGATGGGTAGGGAAAGAAGTTGAAAGTTATTTAAATAAAGGACACGAGCAGGATCACAATACTGTTTGCTCTACTTTTGTTTTTGTTTGAAAATTTCCACAATAAAAACTTAAAAGAGGTCTAGTCAAGTTAGTTGGGTCATGGAGTTATCAAATTGCATGGTATTAAAAGTTATATATTAAGCATGTGGGTAAAAAGGGCCTCTTACCCTGATCTCAGCAGGTCATTCTTAGAAAAATTTTAACATTTAGGGTTAGTCAGGTGTGAACATTAACTACAAAGAGACCAGCTCATCATATGTGGCAAAAGAACTCATTTTTCAATTGTTTTTATTAATGGCAGAAATAGCAATCATTATTTTGACTCCAATATTTGTTTGCACAGACAGAAAGCTTCTTACATAAAGACTAAATATCTCAAATATTTAACTACAATGGCATAAGGTTATAACAACAATTATACTTACCAAGTCAGCATCTAAACCATAAAGACAGTGTCTGGTGTTTGGATCATGATCTGGCTTTGCTTTCTCGGATCTGATAAATTCCATGATTTTATGTTCTCCTTCTCCAGGAGTCTAAATATAATGTTTTCAAAATTTGAGTAATATGATATGCATTAGAAATTAAAATTTTAAAACTCTTTAAATAAATAAAAAAGATAATAACCTCATGGCCTGAGAAATAGATGGTAACTCCTTGCCATGACTTGTCTGTAGAAATTTTCTTATTTACAAAGTACTTCAGATGTTCATGTAACCTGGCCATGAATTCAGTCCCTATAAATAAAAAGTTTTTAAAAGTTTAATCTAAGAAAGACATAAAAAAAGGTGTATTCCCAGTGACATGAAAATGCATCTTATTATCTATAGAATAGCTAAGATCTCCAAAGGCAGACAAAAGCTTCTTCCATATTTAATAAAACAAGTAATGCCATACCTTTCCCTATCAAATATCATCATTGTTTCTAATTTCACTGGTTATCCTTAAAGGAAGTTAACGTCCCACAGAGAAAGTCAAGAAATGTCACCACTGCCTCAGGATTCTGCTGCAAATACTTTCACACAAGGGCAGTTTCAACTGTCTAACAAACTTCAATCTTCTAGTTCCTCACTGGATTCTGAAGTTTTTGTCATAAGTATTGCAACTTCAATTAGATTGCTAATAGTAACAAGAAAGGCACTATTATTATTGCCACTGTTAACCTGCAAAATTATTATAAATCTGGAAACTAAGTCTACATGATTATGTTTTATGAAAAGTCCAGATGGAAAATAGCCAAAGCAATACAGTCTGAAACTTAAACCACAATCAGGATAAAACTGGTTATAAAATCAAGCAATGTGTGATTAGGGCACTTACTGAAAAAGAAAATTCTCAGAGTTAGTAAATAATTCATGAGAAAGTAAAATTTTAAGATTTTTTTCTTTCAAAGCAGAGGATTATATTGTCAGACAAAGCTCTAGGAAGTACAGAGTATATTGCTGTAATATATACTCTGTACTTCCTAGAGCTTTGTCTGACAATATAATTATAATTGTAATACTGGTAAATTCATTTATCCTAAAGTCATAGAAGTCTTAAATGCCTATTAGATGTAAAGTAGTAAGCACTCTGAACTAGAAGAATAGGTTTCTTATTTGGAATACAACAAGGTAGCTACATAAACCTGGATGAGCCACACCTCACTTTTTCATACAAATAAATGGCAGCCATAAGACGAATCTTGTAAGTTCCTTTTAGATCTGAAATTCTGTGCATCTGGAAGAATCCAGTCTACACTTGCTCTTATCAATATCTACTAATCCCTATAGTGGGTTTTCTCAAGAGCACTATGACCAAATCATCTCATGAGGAGACACCATTAAAAAAATAAAGCAAATGGAATCCTAAAGACAAAATACATAAAGGCTAGAAAAAAATTACATTTCAAAAATTAAAATTTACACTTTCAATCTCTTAGGGAATTACCTGGTGTAATACAGTTGGAGTCAAACCTAGCCTCTGTAGGAAGAGTCTCTCCTTTTTCTATTGCCTTTTTTATTTTGTCTTCTGCCTCCTTTGCTGACCTTAAATGAAAAGGGGAAAAATATCTTAAACTTCCTGGGGAAAAGCAAATATATTTTTATAAAGTAAATTGTAATGAGATGCTTTTATAACTAAAATACTAATTCATCAATTTTAAGGTTCAAAACAATACAAGTTTTCAGTCTCAGGACTGTTTGTTTTTAAAGAATTATTATTATTATTATTTTTAAATAAGGACTATAGAAGTAGAACACTGTCAACATAAAGAACATTCAAACCTGTGAAGAATTTTTATGAGTTTATTTGAAACTGTTGACAATTAACAGGACCAAAATCTCAATAGACTGAGATAATGCTCCAGCGAATGGCAGTTTTGCACCTTATTTTATACATTATAATACAATCAAAAGAGAATGTGTATGTGGGTTAAATGAAATCCATTGGTGATAGATTAGGGAAGTGGGAAATACAAAGCAGGGAAACCTCTGGGATTAGATAAGAAGCAAAACGATAGATACATATTTCTTTTAAATTGGTGGGTACAGGATAGCTGTGCTTGTGCTTTGAGGGGTCCAGAAAAAAGAAAATTACTTTGACATTCCAACGATACGTTATCAAATATGCAAAAAGATAATAGACAGGCTTAGTTAGGATAAAGATTGACCTCTGTCAAAGAACATGCTGGGACATGACTACTTACCATAAATTGCTTTTAGTTAAAAAGTTTTAATTTCAGATCATCCTTTTGTGGTTACTTTAGGTATCCAACTTTGCAAGGCTGCCATGCAGACCTTCTATGAGCTTATCAAGTTGCCTAGCATGTAGCCCCTTTCCATCTACATACACAGAATTTAAATAAGGTGCAAAACTGCCATTATCCTGAGCACTATCTCAATCAGAGCATTATCTCAATCTTACAAGTTACTAATCATCAGAGATGCAAATTAAAACAACAATGAGTTATTATCACCTCACACCTGTCAGAATGGCTACCATCAACAAATCAACAAATAACAAGTGCTGGACAGAATGTGGAGAAAAGGGAACCCTAGTACACTGCTGGTGGGAATGCAGACTGGTGTAGCCATTATGGAAAATAATATGGCATTTCCTCAAAAAATTAAATATGGAACTGCCATTTGACCCAGTGATCCCCTTCTAGCAATATATCCTGTGAAACCCAAAATACTAGTCAGAAAGAATATATGCACTTCTTTGTTCATAGCAGCACAATTTACAACAGCTTAGATGTGGAAACAGCTCAAATGACCATCAATAGATGAAAATGATATAAAAAAAAGTTGTGCAAGAACCAAGATGGTGGCGTAGGTGAGCAACTGGTCTGTCACTCCCACAACAATTTAAAAATTAAAACTAATATAAAGGACATCTATCATCCAAAACCACGGGAAGGTTGGCTGAAAGAGAAAGGAGCACAAACACTGAAACGCTGAGAAGCCTAGGTATGGAGACACGCAATGCTGAGAAGCCTAGGTATGAAGACATGCGAATCAGGCTGGTGATGAATCGGGCTGCTGGCGGGCGACTGGGCGCCCAGCTTTTCTTTTCAACCCAAAAGGAAACAAGCTCCCTATCACTTTGAAATCAAGTTTTTGGGGTCACGTGGGGGACCCAGACGACTACGGGGAGAAGCTGGTCTGTTGGCCATCGGTCGGAAGTGAGGGTGACTCTTGCAGAGGTGCCCCCAGCAACCATTGTTTACTGCAATGGATCACAGGGAAGCCAGGACTTGGAAACGCGGGGGGGGGGGGGGGGGGGGGGGGAGGGGGGACGGGGGACGGGGGGACGGGGAGTGGGAGGCGCTGGGACAGCCATTGCTGTTAGCCATGCCCCAACCTAGTGATGTCCTGAGACCCTGCCTCACCCTGAGACCCTGCCCTGAGGCCTCGCCCGCAGATTCTACCGACTTGCCCAGGCAACACACAACTGCTTTTGCATATAAATGGCTGGTATTGTGGCAGCTTAATGAAATAAACTGCAGCTCCAGCAACAAAGCTCCAGCAACAAAACCAACAAGTCCCAAGCAAATGAACTGTACCCTATTAGTGATCCAGAAGCCAGTGTTCCTAGTGGTCAGTTTCAACCCCTCACACCCATAAGTGACATATTCGGGAGACAGGCTCAGTGAGCACCAAAGCCCCACTGAACCAAACCGTGTCTCCAGTGCAGCAGTTCTTCCTTTATAGACAGAGCGGGTCCTCACAGACAATTGGCCTGGAGATCAATTCCTCCCAGAGTACCAACAGCAATCAAGGCTTAATTACACTAAGACTTTGCACTCATCCCACAAAGGGATATACCAAAAGCGACCACTTCAGGTGATTGGGGAAGCTGAACTACTGGACCCTATAGGTCACCTACCACACAAAGCCACTCCATCAGCCAAAATCAGGAGACAAAGAAACATGTCACAAATGGGAAAGATGAAGGAAAGTAATGAGAGGGCAGGGCGAGGCGAGGATGAGCTCCTGACTCCACTGTGGGGCAGGGCGGAGTTATCCTCCATTTTGTAATTGGACTCAGCCCAATCAGGGTTAGCCAAGGCAGTGACATCACCACCGACTGGAGTAAAACCCCTGGACTGGGCGAAATTCGCTCTCTTCTGCCATGCTGTTGGTGTGAGTGGGACAGAGCCCATGCTAACATGGAAAAGGCTCTTTTGTTTATTGCATCGGAATTGGCTCCCTGTTGGTCCTTGGGGATCATAAAATCTGGGCGTAACATATGGGGGAATTCGTCCGGGATCACCAGCTAGGACCATTGAGGGACCCCGATCTGGAGAGCCTGACTGGCCGCGGTCGGTGTGTGTTTGTCTGTCCTTGTGTGAGCGCTCTGGAGGGACGTAAAACTCATGGAATTGGTGCCCGAATACGTCTGGCAGACGTGCCATAAGACCACGAGCAGGAGGATCAGAAGACGTTCTGACCTCCCAGGAGGGCCCTAGAAGGACCCTCATATCAGGAGAGGAATGGAAGCCTCTCCCAGGACGAGGTGAGCGGCGTGAGCCGTTGCTTCACCTGCGGAAAGTGAGCCTTTCCCAGGTCTGAGTTTGGTATCGGCGGGCAACATGGCACCCCAGGATGGAGCTGGCGAAGTGTGGCTAGCGTGGTGGTGTGGGGCCCCCTGGCGACGTTGGGTCGGAGGGGGGGCTTCCGAGGGGCTCAGTCTGCACGTTGGAGCGCAGCTGGACAGTGGTGGCCTTGCTCAGGGAGCAGGCACCTGGGTTAATTTGCTGGCTGCCTGGAGAAGAGGAGGTGGAGTTGAAAAGCCGCTGGGGCGACCCGGGCTTCCTCCTTGGGGGCCGCCTGAGTAGCGTGGCTGGGGCAGTGGCGGCAGCAGCAGCCTCACTCCGGGGGCCTGGGCCAGCATCGGGTCCCTAGCAGCATCAGGTATGGGAGAAGAGCTCAAGGGTGAATTTCTGTGCTCATGTAAAGGAAAAGGCCAGTTCAAAACGAGTGCGCATAGTTTTGGGCTGTGCTTAAAACTCTTTTGTGTGTACAGCACACATGTCAAACACAAGGCCCGCGGGCCAAATCCGGCCCGCCAGGCCTTGCAATGTGGCCCGCACCACGCTGTCATCACTGCACTCCGCTGCATTCCATCACAATGACTCGCGGTGACATAGGAGGCTTGTGATCTCGCCGCCGCCTCGCCGGGCCGCCGTACTTGCTATCTATTACGCATGCGCATAGATAACAAGTCACGCGAGATTCAGGAGGCGTGACCTATAGTCCGGCATCCGATGTGGTTGTGCGGGTGGCAGAGCAGAGGAGAGAGTGAGTGTGCGGGCATAAAAAATACACAGCAGAAGCTGCCAGTTCCTGGCATAAAGTGCAGGCATAAAAATCGCAACAGAATCTGCTATCTGTACCCAGCCAGGCATTTATTGACTGACTCTTTTTTTCTCCACTCCATCTGCCAAATCAAGCTATCCCTGTGCAATTTTCAACTTTTTCCTTCTAACGCAGATTTCCAATAAACTACATCTTTTACTGCCAATATTGATTCCAAAATGTCCAGGAAAAGAAAAGTTGATGGTGAAGGCAGACAATTTAATAACAAATGGGAAAACGAATACATGTTTGTGCTTAGAGAGGGCAAACCAGTGTGTATATTGTGTTATGAGACAGTGTCGGTGATGAAAGAGTACAATATACGTCGTCATTTTGACACCAAACATAATGTTAAGTATGGCAAATATACTTTGGAAGAAAAGCATAAAATTGTTAAAGAACTAAAAGGCAAACTACAATCACAGCAGCAAATGTTTACAAAGGCTACAGCGAAAAATGATGCTGCAGTGAAAGCAAGCTTTATAGTGGCTGAAGAAATTGCCCGTACTTCAAGGTGTTTTTCAGAGGGTGCCTTTTTGAAGCAATGTATGCTAAAAGTGTGTGAGCAAGTATGCCCAGACCAGATACAGAGTTTTCAAAATGTCAGTTTGTCAAGAAACACCATTGTAGATAGAGTTCAAGAACTCTCAGGAAATCTATCATCACAGCTGGCCGAACAGGCATGCAGTTATCTCGCTTTTTCACTTGGTATCGATGAAAGCACAGACAACACTGATACAGCGCAGCTGTCCATCTTTATACGTGCTACGAAGACCGACCTCTCTGTCACTGAGGAACTTTTGGATGTAGCTGCCATGCATGGGACGACGACTGGTAGAGATATATTTGAGGCTGTGGAGAAATCTATAAATAATTTTAAATTACCCTGGGAAAAGTTGGTGGGGCTAACTACCGATGGCGCACCTTCAATGTGCGGAGAAAAGAAAGGCTTGGTTGGACTAATGAAGAAAAGAATGCAAAAAAAGTCACTGCCACACACCCTTGATTACTTATCATTGCATTATCCACCAAGAGGCTATGTGTGGAAAAGTTCTGGACATGAATGACATAATGACCACAGCCATTAAAACTATTAACTTTATACGGGCACGTGGCCTGAATCATCGCCAGTTCCAGCAGTTTTTACAGGAGGTGGGTGCAGAGCATGGAGACGCAGAAGTAAGATG